GAGGGAGGGAGGGAGGGAGGGAGAGAGAGAGAGAGAATATCTAGGATGAAGAAAGAGCACTGTAAAAAGACAGAAAATAGGTTTATAAATTCCTGGGCTCTAAATTGTAATAGTTATATGCAAACCTTCTGTAACTGTAGTGTTGCTCAGATGTGACTGTGGCATCTGAGTTAGAACTTGGACTACAATGGGACTTGGGGCTGGTTCCACCTGCCATACTTTTTCTTTTCCCCCTTTGCCTTTTCTCCTCAATCTGTTTTTTTTCTGTACCCTAACTAGCTTCTGGAGCCTCAAGCTGTTGTTCCTGTTAGGTCTCTGTACCGTTGCCTTCTGTATCCCTGATGAGCATCTTTTCCCAGGTACTCTTCATCTTACACCGTGATCAGCAAGAGTAGGCTACAACTTCCTACTTAAGAACAGGAAGTTGGTCCAGGGCAGCCAGGACTACACAGAGAAACCCTGTCTCGAAAAAACAAAAACCCAGGAAGTTGGACTTATATTACACACCTGTAATCCCAGCATTCAGTAGAATGGAGCAGGACTGAGTTTGAGACCTGCCTAGGCTACGAAGGATTTTAATCAAAAGGGGTGCGAGGGTCGGAGAGATATATCACGACCAGCCAGAGCTAAAAGTTCCCAATGGTGCCTGTCTTGCAGCCTGGCATTATATTGGCATCTGTGGAGGCTTCACATTCATCCTATTACAGCTGGTGCTTATCACAGCCTTTGCCCAGTCCTGGAACAAGAATTGGTAAGGATGGGCTGGAGAGGTGGCTCAGAGGTTAAGAACACTGTCTGCTCTTCCAGAGGTCCTGAGTTCAATTCCTAGCAACCACATGGTGGTTCAGAACCATGTATGTGTCACACACACACACACACACACACACACACACACACACACACACAAATTGTTAAGCACCTAACCCTAAAGGCACCTTCCAAGGAGGTTGACATACATTACTCAATACAGATAGGCTGGGTAAAGGCCACAGCAAGTATTGCTCCCATGTCTTCCCAAAGAACAATGCCGAAATCAGATGTTAATGACATTTACTTGTGATCTCAACATTGGACGTAGAAACAGGAGGGCCAATAATTCAAGGCCACAAAAAACAAAACAAAGCCCGCACCCCCCCCCCCCCCGCACACACACATAAGCAGGGGAGTTCCAAGTCAGGTCATCAAGAATGGTGATAAATACCCATAATCTCCACACTTAGGATGCTGAGGCAACAGTTCAAGGACAGTCTGAAGTGTATGATGTAATTCTTTCAAAAACGAGCAACAAAAAGCTCAAGAATGTACTGTGTGGACCAGTGGGCTGACTAATCAGTAATGGGTAGTAAAGTTCTTATCCCTTAACCACTTCTCTTTAGGCAGACTGGTGCAGCTCAAGACTGTAGCTGGTTTCTAGGTGTATTACTGGCCACACTGGGATTTTACAGTATGGCAGGTGTGGGAGCTGTGCTACTGTTCTACTACTACACACACCCCAATGGTTGCCTGCTCAACAAGATGTTACTCAGTCTGCACCTTTGCTTCTGTGGCCTCCTGTCTCTTCTCTCCACTGCACCCTGCATCCGCCTCAGTGGGTATATGCAATTTAACATTCCAGATTTGGGGATGGGGTGTCCTTTTGAGAATTATAGCAAACTTTATTAGCCTTCCCAATCTCAGTTATCTAAAGTACCTCTGCTGCTTTTATCACACTCTCCCCCAAATGATGGGGAAGGAAAGAAGTGCAGGTGAAGGTAGTACTAACTTCCTGTTCGCTGTCAACTAACACCTGTTCTCCCTAGAGCAACCAAACTCTGGCCTTCTACAAGCCTCTATCATCAGCTGCTATATCATATATCTGACCTTCTCTGCACTGTCCAGCCGTCCCCCAGAGACAAGTGAGAACCAGACTACCAGTACTAGTGCAGTACCTTTTCTGTTCCTTCTAAATACCCAGCTTTGTTTATAACCCTGTTCTCGTTGGCCCTCAGCAGTAACCTTTCAAGGACAGAATCATACCTTGTGCCTTCCTGGCCGGAATAAAACGGAACCACAAATACCGGATACCTCAGTAGCAGTGTTTAGTGCCAGCATCATGTATGCTTGTGTGCTCTTTGCTTGGTATGTAAAGGTGCCAACGGGAAGTGTGAGCGGGATGCCCAGGACTCGCTGAAGAATGTCCAGGGCTGTGGTTTAAACTGTAGAGCAAGTCTAGAACCAGAAAAGCTCCCCATGAACAGGGACAATTTCTAAGAATAGCACCTTGTCAGATGATCTGTATGAGATGATGGGGGCAGGGGAGAATGTCGAGTTTAAAATGCACAGACTTTAGGGGCCTCTGGGAACACAATACCCTCCGGAAGGATACGAAACTGGACTAGTTGAAGTAAATGCCACCAATCGTTCATATTTGGCCCAAAGTTAAAAAACTTCCTTTTACAGCAACGAGGCTTCCTACCTGGCAGAGTTATTTGGACCCTTGTGGATTATCAAGGTTTACAAATATGAGTTCCAGGTGAGCATCAAGAGCTCAAAACCCCCAAAACCCCTCCCCCAAACACAGAGACACACATCCTACCAACTTCTACCCAGAATGCTCAGATTCTAGCTGCTGTTTCCTTTTATTGAGTACCCACAATGTGCTAGGCACTGTACTAGATACTTTACATACATAGTCTCATTTAATTTAACCCTCACAACAACCCTGTGAGGTAGGTATTTGCTCCACTTCACAAATGGAGGAATTGAGGCACAAAAGATTAAACATCTTACCAAAGTTTGCATAGCCAGTAATATGCTGGAGCAAGAATTTGAACCCAGGTGTGCCTCCACTCCTTACACCAGGCCAATCTTTTCAAAGGGGAGATTTTCTGAATTAGTACCCTCACACTGTCTTGAAGCCATTTCAAAACACATTGCCTTGTTTACAGAAGCCTTCAGTCTGTTTCTGCTGCCCCCAAACAGTGGAACCAGAGGACGGTGAGTCATGTGAGCAATCTAGCCAGCTGAACCCTGTAAAGGGCTAGAGCCCTCAAGAGCCTTCACAAGAGTTGGGGCAAGGGAGTGTCAGCACCATTGCTTCCTAGCAGCACTTCTCTCTCTAGGGCAAAGGGGCAGGGCCAGGCCAACTGACCAGGAGACCCCTCCAGCTGCCCAGCTGCAGAGCCAGCCTCTTTCCTACAGCTACTCTGGCTTCCACTTCGCCTTCTTCCTCGCTTCACTCTACATCATGGTTACCCTTACCAACTGGTTCAGGTAGGATGAATGCAGACAAAAGGACTCGCCCAAAAACCTAGCTATTTTAAGGACACACTTTAAGGCCATTCCAAAAGTTCTTGGGAGAGACACACAAGGATCTGCCCTGGTTATGAGGAAGCAGGGATGTTCAAAGCTAAGGCCCTGCATCATCTCTAATCAGCCTTTGGTTTCACAGCTATGAGGAAGCAGAACTGGAGAAGACCTTCACTAAGGGTAGCTGGGCTACCTTCTGGGTCAAGGTTGCCTCATGCTGGGCCTGTGTACTCCTCTATCTGGGGCTGCTCCTGGCACCGCTGTTGGCTCCCCACGAAGCATCACCACCCTGCCACCCTAGTATCTTTAACTAACACTGCCATGGCAGCAGTACTTCCACATAAAAACTGGCTCCTGATCTATAGTAACAAACTCAAGACTCTTTAGATTATGCTCTTAATCTTAGCTCCAGGAGCAGTCCAGCTGAGCTTAATACCTCAAGGACAAATGAGCAGTTATCACCACTTAGGCTCAATAAGTATCTAAACTGGAAGTAGATGAACTAGTGGCGTCATTAAAACTCAAGAGTCTAACTTCCAAGGAAGTAAACCCAAGAACCTTACCTGATCCTAGCAGTGTGGCACAAGCCCCTTCCTGGCTCCTGAGCTGGAGACAGGGCCAGGGAAAGACCTACAAAGATTGAAGATTTGGGTCTGCTCTTAACAATCAAAAGGAGACAAACGGCTCAGCCCTGAGCACAGAGACGGAAGAAGCCCAGACCACAGAACAAACCAGGGAATGGGAAGAAAGGAGCAGAGGCTACCACAGGCTTTAATCCTGATCTCGAGGTCAAAGGAAATGGAAGACAAAAGCCACCTTCATCCCACGAGGAATGACAGAAGAGAAGGTGACCATCGAGAGCAGCTGACCACCAGAAGTTGGGGAGCAGCAGGACTTTTTTTTGGCCAACTTTCAAGCAAACAAAGAATGAGGAAGAGATATAAACTTGGGTCTTAGAGCCTTCCCCTCTTATGGCCCTCAATACCACCCTGGGGATGGTGTTTAAGGCCAATGTGGGGGATAAAAATCACAGAAAAGAAGTCTCTATAGTTCTTAGAGGATTCCTCTGCCATATAACTGGAGTGCTTTTCTGGTTGCAATAGTTGAAATAAAGGCTTCTTCTGTGATGTTTTCCTTATGAAGTCTACAAATCCATAAGGTGCCTAAAAGAACTCCCCCCTTTTAGTGGGAAAGGGCAGTCACTCCTCCATCCCCATTCCCCCAATCCCCAGTCAAACCAGGCGCTCAAGGAATTACAAAGCTACTTTTAATACTTTGGGGTGTGCCCCACAGGAATAAAAAACACTGGGAAGGGGTAACCCCCTCACCCCCAGGAATGGCCCAGAGGGAGAGAGGCTACCTGAGGGGAAGGAAGCACAAAAGGAACCCGCTGCAGACTCAGGGCAAAGGGAATGCCATCGGTGCTGGGACCTGTGAGCACTACAGGAAGAAACTCGAGCATGGTGGGACTGGCTCCAGGCACACAGGCGTAGGGCAAGAGGGTTGGACACGAAGCCACAAAGCTACTTGGGTTCCTCCTTCTTCTCGTTTGCCTTTTTCTGCTTCTGCTGCATGATCTCCGAGTCCCTGGGGGTAGAGATGATGGGGCACTGGGAGGTACCAGAGGGCAAAAAGGACAAGATGCAGGGGGATGAAGGGTACAGAGGATAAGATGGAAGTGGGTGGGACAAAGTTCAGCATATGGCTGCTATATTCCCACCCTAGGAGAACAAGAGGAATAGAGCTAAGGGTCAAAAGGCAAGCAGTCTCCATCTGGCTGTTGCCCAAGGGGTCAGAAGTCTGGCCACTCAGGCCCAAGGCTCTCTATTCTGAACTAAGCACCACACCCCAACGACACTAATGAGAAAGTCGGGAGAAGGGAGGAGACACAAGCAGCAAGGAGGGTCAAAACAACTACACTTGATAAGTGAAGCCCCTGCCCTTGCCCTTAAGGTCAGAACCAGGGCCCGCAGAAATCGGCCCGTGGACAGGGACCCGCCCCAGTCCCTTCCTGTATGACTGTGACCTAACAATTTAGAGTGGGGAGGAAATAAAACCCTAGAGGAAGCAATAGACTCTGCCCCTCACATCTAACCTAGACTCGAACCCTACAACAGTTCTCTTTCCTCGCTCTAACCCAGGTCTCCCTGTCCAGTCCCGGCCCGACCCTTCCTTTCCCCTCCCTGGGGCTACCTCTGCTTGCGGGCGGCAGCAGAAAGCCCATCATCTCGGCGCTTTCCCTTAACCGAGTCGCTCTGCTTCTTCATGTTCTTCTGGCGGGCGAGCTCTCGCTGGTTACCGCCTATGAAGAGAAGGTAGAAAAGTGAGACGCCGGGGCCGCTCCACGTACACACCAGCGCCCCTCCTCCCGCAACTGGGACCCGACTGTCCCCAGTCGCGGCGCCGACCCCATCGTGGGGCTTCGGCTGCCGGGGTGTGGCAGCCGCCCCGGGGCAGGTTAACTTGGGGTGCGGGAGGACGGTGCGGTCGAGACTGCTGGCGGCGCGCGTCAAGTTTGGGGCGGCGCGGGGGCCCAGACAGCTGCTGCGGCGTGGGGGAAGTCCCGGGGCCTCACGGGCACGCGCTGGGGCCCACCACCCAGGGCACCCGGCTTCCTCAGCGCGGAAAGCCGGCGGCGGCCCGCGCCCAACACAGGGGTCTCCGCAAGTGGCGGCGTGCAGAGAGGGTTGCGCTTCCGGCTGGGCGGGAAGCAGCTGGAGAGCACTCCCTCAAGAACCTTCCGCCGGGGAAGCTGAGGCGCACACGCCGGCGCCCGGCCGCGCGGGTAGCGAGAGCGGAAAGAAAAGGGAGAGAGGAAAAGGTCCCAGCACTCACGGGTCATGGCGACGGCAGCGGCTCCAACCTGCCTCCGTTGCGTCCCCTCGTTCGGGCCGACGTTGCAGGCCCCGCCCCCTTCGCGCGACGCCACCAATTCGTCTTCTTCCTCCCGCCCCTTCACGCCCGGGCGCCCGCTCTCATTGGGCAGAGGGAAACACGTGGAGTGCGGTGCCACGCGCCAGTCCCGGAGGGCGAAGAGCCGAGCTTCGCGGGCGGAGCGCCTGACACGGGGCGGGGCTTCCCCGGAGCGCTGGGTCCAGCCTGTAGAAACTAGGCCGGGTCACGTGGGCGGTGGGGTGGAGGGGCGCGGCTGGCGATGTGGCGCTCCGACGGGGCCGAGCACGTGACCGGGCAAAGTGACCTCATGTGGGACAGTTTAGGGTACTGACTGACAAAGTCTCCCCGAAGGAACGCGGTGGCGGGGCAGGGACGGGATGAGGGCGGGATTTCCTAGGTCGTTCATCCGGTTATGTCCTATCAGTTTTCTGGAGCTAAACTTAGGGCTGTAACCCGATCCCCGAGCCTCTTGCCGGAACACTTGCCACAGTTGTCTGAAATCAAACACAGACAACTAAGAAACCCCTTTCCAATTTCCTCGCCCCTAATCGCAGCCACTTTTAGTGTGTCATAAAGTGATCCTGCAATCATTTCCCAAGAGCTTGAGTCCAGAGCTCCTGCATGCACATCTCCACTACTGAACTGTACTTCCAGACTGCCCACAGAAACTTTGAATGTGCCTTGGAGGTGACGAAGCATACCCGAGTCTGACTGCGGAGTTACTTCAGGAACCGAGATTAGGGAATGCTCGTATTTTATTAATCTGCCTCTCTCTGCCTCTCTCTCCCCCGTCTCCCTGTCTCCCTGTCTCCCTGTCTCCCTCTCTCCCTCTCTCCCTCTCTCTCTCCCGTGTATACATTGTATCATTTCCCCCTAAACCTTACATTTATTTGGTTTGTAAAACAAATCAGACTGGTAACTAAATCTTTCTCATTTTCGGTTGCTGTCTCACAGATGCGCCCCCTGTAGAAGAAATTAGTTTAGCCGTCTCTCCCATCTCACCTCCAAGACAATATGAATTCTGCTAAACTATCATGAAACAACCCCAACGTAAATCAGAACAGTAGGACTAGTTCCTGCTGGCCAGACAGAAGAAAACCTGAGTTGAGGCACTTTATCCTGTCTAGTACCATCACTAAGCAGCTGGATTCAGAGACTTTACTCTTTCACAGGAGTCGCCTAAAACCGTTGGAAAACACATTTACACTACGATTCATAACAGAAAAATTAGTTATGAAATAGCAATAAAAATAATTCTATGGTTGGGGGTCACCACAACATAAGGAATTGTATTAAAGGGTCGCAGGAATGGATCCATGGACCCTCATAAAACGGTAGGTGTGGTGGTGTATATCTGTAATCCTACCACTTCTATAGTGAGAAGGGAGGTAGAGACAGGAGAAGTTCATGAACCAGTTAGCCAGGAATAAAAAGCAATCCAACAGAAACAATGACAAACCCTGCCTCAGAAAGATAAAAGACTGAAAGTTGTCCCCTAAAGACACACACACACACACACACACACACACACACACACACGTGAAGGAAATGAATTAAAATATAAACTAATGCCTATCACAGAATCAAGTTAAGCTAAGACTTCAAACTGGCTTTGTGTAGAGCATTTAGGAAACAAAAACACAAAATAAAACATCATTACCAGCCGGGCGGTGGTGGCACACGCCTTTAATCCCAGCACTTGGGAGGCAGAGGCAGGCGGATTTCTGAGTTTGAGGCCAGCCTGGTCTACAGAGTGAGTTCCAGGACAGCCAGGGCTAAACAGAGAAACCCTGCCTTGAAAAACCAAAAACCAACCAACCAACCAACCAAACAAACAAACAAAAAAACCCACAATAGAAATCAGCAAAGCCTGTATCACCAGATGTCTACGAGGCAGAGGTAGGAATATTGCAAGCTCAAAGTCTGCAAATGGTAAAGAATGAGGTCAAGTCATCCAACGTGGTAAGACCTGTCTTAAAGGGATAGAAAGAAGGCTTGACATGTAGCTCTGGTATTCATCTAGCATGCATGAGGCCAAAGGTTCAGACTCCAGTATTTAAAAAAAAGAAAGAGAGAGAGAGAGAGAGAGAGAGAGAGAGAGAGAGAGAGAGAGAGAGGAAGAAGACAGGCAGTAGTAGTGAAGACCCCTTTGATTCCAGCACTGAGGAGGCAGAGGCAGTAGGATCTCTGTGAGTTTGAGGCCAGCTTGGTCTACAGAGTGAGTTCTAGGACAACCAGAGTTATATGGAGAAATCCTGTCTGGAAAAAAAATCTAAACACACAAAAACCCCAATCCAAACCAAACCCTAACACAACAAAACTGTCTATGAGCCTTGTGTGATGGGGCACACCCAGCCCATGGGGGAAGCAAAGGCAGGCAGATCAATGTGTTTGAGGCCAGCTTTCTCTACATAGTAACTTCCAGGCTAGCCAGAGCTACAGGAGACGCTGTATCAATGAAAAGTTTTTGGACTATCAGGTGA